CGATAAATTAATTCTCAAGGGTACAATCCTAACTTGACACGGGATCTCTTAGGAATAAGATTCTGTAAAGAACTTCTGCTGGACGTAGGCCTCCCCCATCGATTGACAAGTTTAGGCTGAGTATGATGATGATGATGGTGAAAGAACTTCTACGCAGTATAAGTGAAGTTAATATAAAATATTGTAGAGCGAAGAGTCATCCTATAAGAAAGATGGATATTTAAATCTACATAACTAGGTATCACCACGAAAACCCAAAAATCATAAGGCAAGATATCAAACTATATCAATTCAAAATAAACATTTGGACCGTTCATGACAAAGTGCTTGGTCGGGGCATTAACGCTCTGTTATAACCTTATCTAATATGAAAGGGGTGCACAGACAGCAATTGGGCATTGATCCTGGCATTCAAACCCAGTTCCAGGCACTTACGACAGATCGAGAGTAAGCCTTGACCATTGCAAGCCTTTGTCTACCGAGACTGCTACTATAATTGATAACTGCCGGACTACGGTCAGCGTCCGCAACCGACGAGCTTCAGACTCAACATCAATGGCAAATACGAGGGTGAATCAAAAAGTTCTTAGAAGTGCATATATACTGGGTGGCGCAAAAGTACTGGCACTAAAGAAAATACTTTTTTTTTTATATGATATTTTCTGTCATTCTGTTGTTGAAAATTGTGTAGTGAACAAATGTAAAATACACTGAAAATAAACATGAACCGTTTTACTCCCCAAGAACGTGGAATAATTGTGTCAATGTTCTTACGGAATAATTCATCAGTGATAAGAACACAACGTGAATTTCGTCGACGATTTCCCCACCGTCCGGCACCGATTGGTCGCACAATTCGACGCTTTGCCACACGCCTTGAAGCAACTGGCTCAACATTGGATAGACCTAAGTCTGGGAGACCAAGAACAGACCGTTCAGCTGAAAATATCGATGCTGTGCGCGAAGATGTGGAAGAGTGTTCAGAAACATCAACGAGGCGACGTGCCACGCAATTGGGCATTTCCAGACGGACCCTGCAGCGTATTTTGGTGAAAGACTTAAAGATGTTCCCGTATAAAACTCAAATGGCTCATCAACTGCTGCCTGCTGACCACCGAACTCGTCTAGATTACTGCCAGCGCGTCATAAACCTCAACCTTGAAGAGGATGATTTTCCTTCAAAATTGGTTATGAGTGACGAAGCGCATTTCCATCTCTCAGGGCATGTCAATAAGCAGAATACTCGGTTCTGGGGCACTGATAATCCGCGCATTATTCAAGAAACACCTCTACACCCACTAAAAGTTACTGTATGGTGTGGCATCTGTGTTGACAGAGTGATTGGACCCTATTTTTTCGAAGACGCTGGAGGCAATGCGATAACTGTCACTGGAGAATGCTACAGAACCATGTTACGTGAGTTTTTGATACCCAGTTTGGACGAATTGGGGCTGGAGCACATCTGGTTTCAACAAGACGGCGCTACGGCACACACAGCGCGCGACACTATGGACTTAGTGAGGGACGCTTTTCCAAGCCGAGTTATCTCTCGTTTTGGCGATTTGCCTTGGCCTGCAAGATCACCCGATCTGACCAGTCCAGACTTCTTTCTTTGGGGTTTTTTGAAATCTCGGGTGTATGTGAACAAGCCACAGACTCTCGCAGCTCTAAAAGAAAACATTCGTCAAGAAATAACGAACATATCGCAGGAAGTGTTACGGCAAGTTATGCAAAATGTCATAAATAGGGCTCAAATGTGTATCAACTCTGGAGGTCACCATTTAAAAGACATCATCTTTAAATCCTAATGGTACGAAATTTAATGGCACAAATATACATTTAAAAAAACCTAAATCTAGTTTTCTAATTTAGAAAAAATGTTATAGCTGAACCAAATAGGGTCTTTACTTTTGCGCCACCCAGTATAAAACCTTTTTGGATCAAGTTCGATATTCAAATTAACGAGTGTCTATCACACTATATTTATGCAGACTGTCACTTGTTTTTGTCAGTTCGTTCGCATGTAATAAATTTTTTTGTGCAACGAGTTG